AAAGATAAATAAAGCTGCACTAAAACTTCTAAATGTTACCAAAAAATCACATGATTCTTCTCATTTGTGTGTATGTGTTATTCAACCTATAGCCCTAACCATCTGCAAAACTGATTTCAGTTGCTAGGGATTCATTTTAGCTAGTGCATGTCTCTTCAGAGAAGAAATCTTTAAAAATGTTAATAAAGATAATAATGAACTAAATTTGGCATGCCTAAAAGAATTAAATGCACACATGCATCAAGAATCCCTCTAGCTTGGTATTTTGCACCAATGTGCCATCAAAAATGACTGAAAGACTTAGGAGGAGATGCTGTGATTACTTAATCTAAATTAAATGCACTCTCTGCCTTTGGAATTCAAGATGTGCGAGTGAGTATGCTGCAGAAGGCTCATTTAGAAATTTTGCCTGGGGATAAAAATAACCTGGGAAGATTTTAAAATTTTCTAAAACCAACCCGCTGACACCGATCTTAATTCTGAAATATTGTTAAGGAAATTAACACTGATTAGCTGGAGGGAAGAGAAAAGATAAAAAGGGTGCACTAATCACATTTCCAGCACAATGAAACCAAATCAAACGAAAGCAAGCTTTGGGGTCAAGGACTTCCTGATGCACTGTCCCCTCTAGAGGAGCTCCAGACCTTTTGGTGCAGAGCTGGAAATAAAGAGAGCTGCCAGTACTGGCAGCAAACAGGGCTGTAAACCTGAGCACAGAGGGGACTGCAGGACACAGAACTGGGGACTGTAGGACACACTCCTGGCAGGAGTGGGAAAGGTTAGAGGCTCTCCCATCCTCCTGCAAAGGACCTGGGAAAGAAGGGGATGGGTGGGGAAAGGAGACATCTAAAGACAGCCGTAAGAGAATGGGATATTGGGTAAGAAGTGAGCAAACTCCCCTCCTTGTGAAAGAGGATCTGACAGCAAAATCCAAGTCCTGCTTCCCTTATTCCTCTCTTGGCAAGGTTGAAGAATGGTGGGAAGATGACTGAGTGAGCATAACAGATGGGCTTGTACTTCCCAGATTGCTTCAGGTTGCATTAATCTCTGCGGTGGGTTCTCATTTAGCTGAGAAAATGTCACCAAAACAAACGAAGCGGAGCAGACTGGGACGTGAGCAGCAGATGCAGAGAATCTCTTCTGCACGGTGTGGGGAGAGGCAGGCAGGCAGCATTCCCACTTGCCTGCTCCCTGCAGCCCTTCCAAAACTCATCAAAGATACCCCTGCCTGATTGGGAGTATAAGTGCCTCAGATCAGCAGAAAAATCAGTAGAAACTGGGAATGTGGATGATGGCAGGGAAGTGAGGTGACACAGGGGGAGTCAAAGCAGTCAGGGAACAGGGACAGAGCAGTGGCCAAAATACAAAATAGGTGTTGGGAGAACTGCCTCAGAGACGAGCACAATTCATTGCTGTCCATAAACCCTGAAATAATCCCTGCCTGCATGCACATCTCCATTTCAAGAACGTGCCAGTAGAAGACTCTTGCATCCTCTCCTGGCTCCTGAACCAACACAGCACTCTCAGTATATGAAAGGTCCAGGAAAGAAACTTGGGCTTGCTGAGAGCATCCATGAGGGTGAAAACAAGATACTCACCAGAAGAGAGGGCAAGCAAAGGAACCAAGAGGGATTTGGTGCATTATTCCAAAAGAGACAGAACAGTGAATCATGAAGAAATGCCGTGTAACAGAGGACACCAAGTGTCTTAGCTCAAAGCTTGAAAGCAGACTTAGGATTGCCAAAAGTTCCTTAACACTTCCATAAAGTAAAGAGTGAATAAATTGAAGGTGAAAGGAAAGTGAGGAAAACTCCAGGTCACACAAACATAATTTCAAAAAATGCGTGAATACAAAGCAAATAACATTTACATTTTGCTTTAATGAGTTTGTCCTTGAACATTTTTCCAACACACCAACCATTATTACATCTTCCAGGACTATTTCCAGTTGCTAAAGAAACAGTGGAGGGAGCAGACAAACATTGTGGCCATGTGTTTGCTCCAGGAGCTGCTGCACTCAGCAGAACCGACTGAAACCAGCTGCCCAGTGCCCCGAGTGCCACCCAGGCTCCTGCAAGCCCAAATACATCCCTGCTCCTCCTCTGGTGCACTCAGGATCACCACCAGCCGTGTCACACGTGGGCTACTGACACCATTTACCAGTGTGGAAGAAGGGGGACACCAGTCTTTGGGGGTTCACAGCCCCCTCTCATCAGCTCCCACCGACGTTCCCCAGCTCAGCCCCCTCCACGCGCCAGGACAGAGCAGCCACAGCTCCTGGATCCCAGGGCTCCAGGAGGCAGGAGCAGCACATTCGGATTCACCACACCACCCTCACTTGGAGACTGGCTGCATACTGTCTGACAATGCATTTTGCTTTAATGCATAAATTTGAAGCAATGTAATTTCCATTTATATGTGCACTCCGTTGGCCAGAGCAGCCCTCCTGTTTTTATCAAGCAGACAAAAGGTTTAAGCTCTATAAAAGGTGGCTGATATTTAAGTTTTAATAAAAATATATTTCAGGTATGTCATTCTTTCCTTAGGCTGACCTAGCCTACAATATATTATTTACATAACTGCTGCAGTATCTATTTCAAAACTGACTCGACAGCCCTCTCCAGAACTGTAAGCTGCCCTGCCTGTCACCATGATGGGTAAACACTGTCACCTTTTCACAGCCCGATGAAATATAGAGAAGTACTAAAGTGCACCATCCATCACAATGGCACTAAGTAGGTTTTTGAAGTAGATTTCAGATCACAAATGCTCACATTTTTACTCACAAATGCTGTTTAGACTGTTACCAGAAAGCACAAATTGGATGGCTCATATACAATGGCTGTATGATGAATGGACATGACAGGTGGTCAAAGAAAATGAGTCTTGCTGTTCTACAAATAACCTTGTCAACATCAAAGTGGAGCTGTAGCTCTGCTGGTAGCCAGACTGCAATAGCTTAATGGTTTTATTTGCTTCAACTTCTAGCAAACCAAACAGACAAATGAGATACAATGAAGCAGCAGCACCCAGGCAGTATTAGCAATTCCGCCTGATTAAGTGACACATAATAGGAATTTTCTGCTAAGGATGTGCCACATTTGAAATAAAATTATTCTGGTTATGAGTAGCTGTTATAAAAATACCTGTTCACAGGAAAACCCTCATGATTTTGCAATCACAAACCACTGCAGGATATTCAAAATACACAACTTGTAGCTCCACTGCAAGCAATCAAGTCACTTTCTGATGGCTGAATCCAGCAACAGCCACCACCTGCTACTTCTCATCTAAAGTTTTTCTACTTCCATTAGATTAACTAGTAGAGATTAGTGTGTATGATTGAAAGTCAGGAAGGTTAGATCACTACCAACTTACCTGCAGCCTAAACAAATAGGAAAATTTCCCTTTTAGGTAAAACCTGTATCATTTCAGGTAGACATTTTGAGGAACAGAAGAAGACATCTCAAGTTTTGTAAGGGTGCTGAGGTATCTCAAAGAACTGACAGTAAAACTATGCAGAGAGTCATTCTTTGGTTCCAAAGCAAGTTTGGAGTTTTGCCAAAGCCAAGGTCCAGCCCCTGTGATGAGGATGGTGTTTGTGGGCCTCGTTTCTGCTGAACTCATAAGAGAAAACTACCCTGGAACATAATGCAAAGTGGAACACGTGCTGCTGGGAATAACAGCAGTGGTTTTTCCTGGAACATTGGATTTCCTTCAATCTGATGAATTTGTTACCAGCACATTGACATTCATGAAATAAAACCTCAAAGGTCACAACCATTCTTCTCTCTGATTACAGTTACTCTCACTAAGTTACAGTGAGAAAATACTATGAAATATGGAGTTTTTAAGTGATATGAGGAGGCAGCCCCATTCATTGGCACATGGAAAAGTTAGAGTGTATCATGCAAGTTAGGACCTTTTCTTGCCTACTTCATTTTGCTTCTCAGCAACAGATTTGAAGTGGACAGAGCCCCAGAATGGAGGCTGACAAGACTCAGCATGGACAGTAGGCATGCTTAAATATTAAGATGTTCACAATCTGTTCCTTTATAGCCTGTAAATGTTCTAAGCCATGAACAAACATATCTTTTAAATAAGAAACCAAGATGGAAACCCTCCAGCATCAGGGGAATAATAATAATGTGATACTTTTAAAAGGAAGATGACAATAATGCAATTAACAGTGAAACTGCAATTTTTATATTTCAGGAATATCAAGATTTACACTATCTCAGCTAGGAAGGTAAATAGAAATGATGGCCCCTTTGTGCACTCTCAAAATATTTAGCAAGAAGCTAAAGGAAAACAGACAGTGAAGACAAGATAATCCAAGATCTTATTTCACTTGGCAAGTAACAAATCCAAATAGGTAGAATCTTTTTGCTGACAAAACTTCCTAGAGTAACTACAGTAAGATAAAACTACAAATCGGTGTTTTCGAGAGGAAACAGAGCAGATGTGTCAACTGAGTTGTCACAGAAAAAAACTTATGTGAGATCCACAACCATAATTCAGAGGCTCCAGGTATTAGCCCAGCACTCCCACCAGCCTCATCTTATCCTTCCTACAAGCATCCCTCAGACCTCTAGCACTCATACATCAGCAAGGATAAAGTGAAACTCTAGACACAGCTTCCAGATTTTTACACACAAGCAAAATGTGACAATTCATAAACACAGATACTTAAAAAGAAATTATTCACCTAGATATATGTGAGTGTAAATCTGTATATATCTCCTATGAGCTATTCATATATATAAGATTGTAAGGTTAATTAAAATAAGTATGATGGCCACATCATAATTCACATAAACATGCTTATTTCAAGGCTGGGTATTTCAGCGTATTATCAATTGGATTTGATGATCTTAGAAGTCTTTTCCTACCTAAATAATTCTGTGATTCTATGTCCAATTTTCCAGTCAGCTTCAGGAAAACCTGATGTTTCCTAACTCTATTTCAGCACAAGTGACAGAGACAAATGGCCACGTTACCTCAAGAGTTCCTTTGGCAGAATAAGCTGCGTACGAGTACAGGAGGTCTTGGCTGTGAAGTGTTTTGGGCTCTCTGCTGCACTGTTGTCCACTTGGATAAAAGCATTCCCCGCTGTTTTGCAGAGTTACAGTGTTTGAAGAAGGGCCTGGCAGGTCGAGCAGAACGGAGTAATTCACCAGCTGGACATCTTCCAGGCCTTGGGAATGCCACTGACCCAGGATCTTCATTGCAATGTCTGCATCGTCTTCTCTGGGGAACTCTAACAAATCTCTGGGGAAAAAACCCATACAAACACAGGTTGAGTTTATTTCCCATCAGGTCTCTTGTACCTTTCTATGCATCAGTGCATGACTTTATTAAAAAAACTATCATTAAACATGCAAAAAAAAAAAATAATACAACTTTCATTTTTTGGCAAATATTTTCTTACCAAGTACAAGACAAAGGCAATTGCTTTTTTGGAAATAAAAATAAGAAAAAAATGTATGCATAGGAGACATATCCAAATGAAACAAAGAATCCTACAGAAATTACCACAGTAACTGTTTCAAAATTCATACATCATTTGCTGTTAAAATTTCTAAAAGAGCATAAATTTAACCAATCTTTAAACATGAAGAAGCCTATCTGAAGTAACATCTCAAGGATGTCAGGGAGGGCATGACGCTGAAAATTAGTTATAATTACATTGTTATAATTACGTGTTTGGCTTGAATTCATCAAGGAAAGCAAATTTACTATGCAGAATGGAACTGTTCCCCCAGATGATGTGCTCACTGTCAGCGAGTTCTTCACATTTCCTACCTGCACTGAAGGACTACCTGAGCCACCAGCTTGGCCAGCATAAAAGGCAAACATGGGAATTATTTTGGCATTATCCACTGATGGGTCAGTGAGAACTCAGGTTGGTCTGGGCTCCTATCATGTGTTTGCATCACTTTTCACACTGACTGGCACAGGGGCCACAGGATGAAGGCACTGAAGGACCACCCTCCTCCCCAGCACATGCCAAAGGATTCCAGATGCTGAAACTATTGCCAGAAAAACTTCAGAGGATGGGCTTGCAAAGAAGTACAGAAATAAAATTTATTACTCAAATAAAAAACACTGCCCAAGTACAGCACAAAAAGCTCATGGAATATTTACTGAATTTTGTGAAGTTGAGGTTTTTTTTGGTTTTTTTGGTTTTTTGGTGTGTCTACAAAGTTCTCAGGACTGAAAAGAAGATTAAGGATCACAGATGTATTGATTTCCAAGCAGAGATACTGACACTGCCTGAAAGTCTTGTGCACAACCTTCTCTTCACAAAAAGGCCACTAAACTTAACTGCTTTAAGGTCCTCAACAGAACTGCAAAAAAACACCCTGGCTGTTTTGCACACGTCAAAAATAAAGGGTTGAATAATGTGCAGTCTTTTTAAGCAAGCAGCAGGTATCTGAGAATCCCACCAGGCACCTTCCAGGTACCCCTGCAGTACCCAAAACCTCCTGGCTAAAGGTACTGGCATTCCAGGAGGGTCTGCAATGCCCCCAGGGACAGCCCCAGCAAGCAAAGCTTGGGCTGGAAGTCAAAGCACAAGGGCTCCCTTCTCCACCCATCTTGTGGCTGAATGTTTGAAAAATGAACATTTACTGCCTAGACAACGTCAAGGCCTTAAAAGGGAGAAGGTGGAGTTGTAACACCCATTATTCCTAGAAATGGCTCAGAAATTATGTACTCCATTCAAATGCCTAATGCCCATCATCACATTGGATGGGTGGAATGGTCATTCCAACATGCAAAAGGCTTTTTTAAAAAATAGATATATCTTTGTATAATGGGGATTTTTTTATAAAATATGATTTTTAATTTTTTTAATTTTTCAGTATCAAATTCAAGACCTAATTGCTCAAAGCAATATGTTGTATCCCAAGCTGCATTGCTCCAGTGAGGCTGGTCACACCCAAAGTTCAAAATCTTTACAACAACACTGGCTTTATGTTGGAACTTCAGGGATCCTGTCAGGAACAACTGTCTCGTAGATTTAATGTTTTTGAGTTATCAAAAATAAGTCTTCAAACAGTCTACACCACACAGATGACTTAATCCAATCTACACTATATTACAAGTTTCCAATTTCCTCTCCTGTGCCTGCTAATGTAATGACATAAACTTAGGCAGTGCAGAAATATAGAAAGTTGTTTGATTAACACAATCATTAATAAAATATTTGCATTTCCCTGAGGTGATGGAAACATTAATAGAATAAATAATTAAAGAAACATATCCCAGGCCAATAGGGTTATGGCACATTGCAATCAGAAGTATTCAGCCATAATAAAAGGAATTAAGCATTAAAAGAGGAAGATACAATAAGCAAGTTGCTCCCTTACTAATAGAAGTTACTTTCCCCTTCATAACTAAATCAACATGTCTTTGAAACTTTGAAACAACATACCTGATTAAATTACAGAAATTATTCCACTCACTATTTACTCCATAACCTCTTTATAGCATGTTGAAATCAAATTGCAAATTATGAGCACACATTATTTTACAATAAATCAGCACATATTAGACTACTTTGATAAATCATATGAACACCACCAGAAAGCTTTTTTTCCCAGACTTATTACAATAGCTGACTTGCATTTGCCTTTGATGCTGACTTCATGAACTTCAAGTCAGAGCTAATTTAACTCATTATTTTTTCACATACTAATTGTGTAACAAGTAAAATATGCATAACCAGTATTTTCTAAACCCAGCCAAATTCAGAAAATTCTCAAGTTTGGCAGTTCAGCCTGGAAGAAAAATCAACACTTCACATGCACTTCACAGTCCTTCTTTACAAATGCTCAAATTATTTACTTCCTAGAACTTGCAGGGCTCAGGAACTCCCAGCAGTGGGAATTCAGCAGTGGAGAGGAGCAGCCCCTCAGGATGAGGATGTTTCTCAGTTCCCTGAGCAGCTGCACACTCAGAAGGAACCAGTACCATTGCAATTGCCAATTTCCATTTACAGCACCGCCTCTGATAACTTCAGCCAAATTTTTTACTCCCTTTGGTCACATTAAAATGATACTTTATTCAGGTGTTTTTTTCAGGTTCATTCAATGGGAATAACCACAAAGTTTATGGGCACATCTCTGCTGTAAATCTCCATAATCAGTGAAGTGGAGCCACCACACGCTGAAGATTTGGTCTCAAGTCAGAATCAACACCAACAAATGTAACAATGCCAGGCTGCACACTCCTGTGCCTTCCTAGGATGCTCTCAGGGATTTCCACAGTTTCCTGACCTTTGTTTTCTAATAAAGATCAGGATTGAACTAAAGTACATCAGAACAGGATATAAACTAATTTCTTGAGCATTCTCCTCCATCTCAAAATGCTCAGTTCCTCAACTCTTTAAAAACAGGTAAAATTGCACTTAAAACCTAGAAAGTTCACCCTACTTCACTTGAAGAAGGTAGAGATTTCCCACTTTGGTGTGACCAAAAGACTATCACTGTTGAAGATTCAAAGTCCTAAACCTAGAAAAACAATTTTAAATATGTTGAAGATACACCTGTAATAAAGCCAGGGGTTCTGCAGCCTCTGAAGCTTCAAAAGGCTGTTCTTTACCAGGCGATTATAAAAGATAAATGAACACACACACACACACAAAACATACAAATTTCATTTTCAATTTGGTAACCATGGGGAACACAGACCTGCCGTGCTTTAATGGAAAGTCATTTGCTACAACAGCACTTTTTGACACATTTGCCAAAGGAGAGAACAAGGTATTGCAAATAAGCCAGCTGGGACACTGAACACCACTCAACAGATACTGAAAAATTACAACAGGTCACTCCAACAACCAAGAAATGGAATAATTTAACTGTATGACACAATTACTTCACAGTTAATCCTATTAAATTTCTATAAAACCCTATAAAAAAAAATAAAAATGGAATTGCAGAAGGATTCTACAGATTCAATCTGAAAAAAGCTACAGGGACAAAAATTCCCAGCAAATACATAAAACTTTAAGTGTGGTTGGTTTGGTTAGTTTTTTTCCTTTTCAGATTTACCACCTGTATTGCCATGAGCATGGGGAACTGGCCTACACTTCCTGGCCTATTAAAAAAAATCATCCAAATTCCAGTTTTGCTGAGTTAGATGTTTAAATGCCTTATTCTCATATTTTGACTGTAAATTTCTACTGTTTTCTTCCAGTTCACCGAAATCGTTCATAAAGCAACTACTGTGATTTTAGGTAAGAGCTAACAACAAATGTGATTTTGGAATATTTACAGATTGATTTTTCAGCTGAGTGGCTGCTCTCAGACCCTGTGAGTTGCAATGACCTCTCATATTTTGTAAAGCTGCATCAGATCAAAGTGTTCTGTTGTCTTAGCGTGATGCTCCCAACAGTAGCTGGTAGCAGATAATCACAGAAGAATGCAGGAAATGCATCACGTGGGGTTAATACATTTATAGCCTCTCATGTAAATGTCTTTTTTTTTATTTATTTAAACCTCAGACTTTGAGTTTTAAAGATGTTTTCATACGTTGAGGATTTCAGATGTTGTTTCAGTCCATTAAGAGCCGAGCTGTGGCACAGGATGCACCAACTGCTCAGCAGATGCACCAGCATTTCCCACACTTGCAGAAAGAGAAATTATTTGTGTCCATCACACACAGTGTGCACACACAGGAAACACTCAGGAAATACCACCTGCCCAAGCCACATCTGCTTCAATTTTAATTACATGTTCCTGTTAATTAGGGCACTCCACCAGGCTGGTCTCCAACCTGCCCAGTTGGATTTCCCATAGTCTGAACTGATGGCCACAAATTTTCTGCTCCCAAAACATAGAAATAAATAAATTCAGGTCCAAGAAAGGATAAATATTTGTCATGAGGTGAGAGAAATGTGTTCATGGTGCGAAGAGTTGCACGAGGGATCCTGAAGCACCTCAGGTTCTTCAGGTAACATTGCAAGGTCACCAGAATCTGCTGCAGAAAGCTGATCTGTGAAATGTTCACTGTCACATCTACCATCAGTCTTCATAAACTCTGGATATTCTGGGCGTATTTCTAGCAATAATAATAATAATAATAATAATAACAATTACCCCTGCTCATTCTTGGGTAACAGCATACTGCTTTTGCTACCTAAGGGAATATTTACAGAGCTGCATCTGCACCATGTTACATGGGGCCTACAATACACATTTAAACATGCTTTAACATAAAGAAGTACAATTCATGCTTTAACAAAAGGGACTATGATTTATGGC